CCACACTTTTTTTTGCTACATCCCCTCAGGGCTTCCATACCTCCTTCCAACATTTGTCCCTACACCAACCTTTCCCTTCTGTCCAGGAGGACCAGGAGGTGAAGGCAGCTGCTGTAAAGCCAGGCAGTCCAGGAGGACAGGTGACAAGAGGGAGTCAGAGAGGGTCCATGCTCCCACCTGCTCCCTGGAGGTCATTGGTTCTGTGTAATTACACCGGGTCACAGCAGGTCACACAGGTGTAAAGGAGCGTGAGGAGAAGTCAGGGTCAAAGGGGAAACAGTGATGGAATTTTTATGTTTTCAAATAGAGTTAGACAAGTACTGTAGATGTTGGAAAAAGTGTGTTTGCATTGTGTATTTGTGTGCAATTGCAGAGACGATCGCCACCATATTTTGTGCAGAACAGTGAGTCAGTCCCACAGTTAGCCAAGAACTCCATCAAGGGTCTCATCACACATAATTATTTATCCCATTTGCTGATGATTTGCCTCTTTTTTTTGGTCTTATTGTCTAACCCTAACCCATGCACATGTTTTGAGGAGACAGAGGGGAGTGGAAGGTGACACCAATAATATGTTGTCTAGATCACAACTGAAAAATATGTGTCATTGCATTATTATTCAAACTGTCCATTGGCCCATCCTCACAGGCTTTAACTGCCATCACAGTGGTGTCTGAGTGCACCCCTGCACTCAGACACTACCTGAGTGCTCTCCAATGGAAATAATAGCAGTGTTCTGCACAATGTCAAATTTGTGCTTTTAGGGTGAGCCGTGTCACAAATGGGACAGAACTTTGTGACATGTGGACAGGAAAACACAAACAGAAACAGAAAAAGAAGAGTGTTTACTCTGTGTTAAGTAAAAGGTAGTCAAATCATCAAATTTGAAAGTCACTATCATGTCATTAAAAGACAAATAATTAGTCAGTAATGGTTTGTGCTTTATTGTCACAATATGTATTGTGGGATTTTGTGCGGACTTGCGTAAAGGGTGGATGAATGGCTCAGGAAGCCGATGGGAGAGCCAATTCTGCATTACAAGAGCTCTGGGCAGGTGCAGGCATCAAAGGCTATACATGTGTGGAATAGTAAATACTGCAACTTTGACCTATAGTACATGCTGTGGTAGCTAACACTAACCTGCATTAGAGATTGTTGGACATTTTGGCTACGTTCACATGCAGCTCAAGTGATTTAGATAATCTGGATAAACTCTTATTTTATCTATCTGATCAGCTGAGTGCTAGCTGTTTTAGCCCTGAAACTACAAAAACAGGACCCTGGATACATGTCACATATCAGGGGAAACTCACAAGACAGAAATGTGTGTTGATAGCTAAGGTGCAAGGATGGATTACCAACGGGAATATGGATCACTGCCCCAGAGCCCCAGACTGAAAAAGCCCCAAGTTCACTGTGTGGTCATTTATGGTAATTTGATTAATCATAACTTTATATGGGAATACAATAAAAGCACCATTAAAGCATAATATGAACTGACATGACATAAGTGCCTGTTTTATTACCTTATCTTGAGACCCTGTCTCGAAGAAGGCCTGTGTGTCAGATTCTAATTTTAAGAGCTACATTTAAGCTGATATTTTGCTACAAGGTGCATATTCCTAAATCAATTTGAATTTAATCAAATTCACACTCAGCAGTGAGGCCAGGATGTATATATTGAGTAGAGAGGGAGAGGAATCGGGGTTAATGGGGGCCCAGCTGCTCGTTTTTGCCCCATGATCCCCAAGCAGATGAATCTATTCGTGCCAAAGTTGTCAGTCTTGACAGTATCAGGAAACACTTTGTTCATCCAGTTTGTACACACGTACATGATCTCTATTGGCTGTAAAAAGCAAAGAAGAAGAGGTTTTTTGGGGAAATTGGAGCTACGATTGAAATGCAGTGAAACTGAAAGCTGTCTGGTTCCAGGCCAGTTTGCATTATACGGAAAAGTCTCTTCTCCCAAGGAGACTACTGCAGATAAGCCTGACAGTCAGTGTGTTACAGTACATGCTCACACAGCTATTTCTACCCTTTCAATATTCTGTGCAGCCAGGTAGATGATTGTGCTGCTGATTGATACTCAGTTACAATGATGTCAATCACTCAACGATCCCTGCGTGAATGCATAAATAATTAGACTTGGATAAAAAGTGCACGATTGAGGAGTTTTACAGGACTTACCTGTCAACCTCCCCCACATGCTCTCCCCTGAGAATGCAAAGAGCCGGGGACGGCATTAAAGCAGATCCCGGGATTGATGGAATTATAGTTGTTATAAAATGAACCATAAGTCAAACCCACGCAAACACTTTGCGGGGTGACCTCCACTGACTGATGTTAAATACCCCGAGACACCAGGAGCGCTGTTACGCAACGGTAGTCTTTACACCCGTCTGGAAGTGTTCGCCTTCGGATGTGCCCTACGGTGCTGTGCGATGAATATTTCAGACACGAGAATGTTGAAAGTTCAAAGTGCAGCGATGTTTGCGTCAGTGTAGGTGTGCTGTTACATAAGAGGAAGAGGTGAGAACAGGTCTAATCAGTTACTGTGGAGGTGTTGTGGGCCTAATTTAACCAAACAGCTGTCGGATAAACTCTCACAAGTTTTCCCAATACTCTTGGATTTTATTTTCGCAGAGGACTGAAATGTTTTACTCGACCAAATCTAAATGAGCGCAAACACAACTGCAAGTTTCCAATCAGCAAACATAATCCTGCCAATGTCTAAGTAACATGCTGTTAAATGTTATTTCTGGGACAAATGCCAAGGGAGAACCTCACAGGAAATGCCTCAAGGTTAAACCCAGGTTATTCAAGCCTGGAAACACTGCTGCTCAATCTCAAAGAAATGCTGAAATACAGACTTTACAGAGGGAACCACAACTAAGAGTCAAAGTGTGATTTTCATTTTCTCCTCCTCCTGTAAATCCAAAATAGTGCTAACTTCATGTTTTCCATCCAGAGTGGTGTTATGACAGAAAAAAATGCTGTGTTGCCCATCAGGGATATCCTATAATACAATATTGATCTCTTTGGGAGGGTTGGAGGGAGTCCAGGGACTCTGAGGATCATGCAATATGATGTTTTTGGTCAGTAATCACCCAGGTGACGACCTCTCACAGGGTGTTGGTGTGTATACATCAGGAGATTCAACAACAGAGGACGACAGCAGGTTTTTGTACTAATGGGTAGAGCTCTAAGTCCCGATTCAAAAGGTTTTAAAATGCTGCAGTTACAAGATGAGTGCATATAGTCAGCCTAAAATAGTGCTATGTGAATGTGAGGTTTTGGGGACAGAGGATATGGAAGCCAGAACAGATTCAGGTAGCGATTATTTACCGCATTAAGGTGCTTTCAGGCAGAGAGTGGGTAACCAGAGGTGAAAAAAGTACACACATTCCTTACTCAAATACACATATTTGTATAAAAAAAGATTACAGTAGAAGTAGAAGGACTGCTTCAACTTGTTTACTCAAGTAAAAGTGTAAAAGTACAGGCCCTGAACATATCAGAGTATAAAAGGACTATATATTTATATATATAAAAAAACTCTTGGTTTCTCTGAAGGACATTTGTACCAGCTGTTTCTGTGCAAAGCTAACTGAAACTACAAATAGGGTCGAGTCTCCTTCTGTCGTGTGTTTTGTCATGTGTGACATGCACCAGTCTTGATGTTGGGAAGGCGTGCAATGACGGAAAAAAAAACAAGAATAATTGGGAAAGTAACCTGACAAGTCTGTTTTGAAAATGTAGGGGGTGAAAGCAAAATGTTGTCAGAAAAAGAAATACTAAGTAAGTATTTGTACTTCATTACTGGCGCCCTGTTGCTGTCCTGTGTTTGTTTAGCCACTCATGGTGAGTGTATTGGTCTGTTGGTCAGTTGGTCTATTACTACTATTTGATGGATTATTATATTTTCTATTCATGGAGAGAATAAACCCAACCTGCTTTGGTGATCACTTAATTGTTTAATCTGGCATTATCTTTAGGTTAAAAATTTTGATTCAAATATTTTAATTAAAGTTTTTTTCATTTTAAATTACTTGAAAAACTAGTGAATTTCCCATCCGCCTTAGCTATCCTTTATGCTTAGTGCTAATTAGTGCTAATTCATCTCTTTGTGTTTTACTTTCCACCGTTTTAATAATTGTAATTTAATTTTATCATTCAAAGATCACAATTACATTCATTGTTGATCTACCTTACTCTCGCCATTTAAAAACAGAATGTCTAAAGTCTAAGTACTGGATTGTTTTAATACTTCATTCTGCAGGCAGGCAGCTGTTTGACTGTTTATCCAGGAACATGGAGATAACAGTAGGAGGAAGAAGACACCTCTAGGCACTAGATTACTCTGATTTGAATAATCTGTATAGTGAATTACTGTAGGTTTGTAAATATCCCGTAAAGATTCTATAGGAATCACTACGTACTCACATCAGTGTCTGAGATAAGCGAGACTGTTGGGAACATCATCTAGCACTGCTGCTTTAGTACACACAGCTACTTATATATCAGCCAGGACTGAGAGCACACACACACACACACACTGAGAGTGTATTGTATACACTGACACGGATGAGTTACTCACAGATACATGAGGCTTGTTACTTAAAGGTCAGGATGATTGTAAGCAAAACATGTAAAAACGTGTTCGATCATCTGTGCCAGGGTCCTGGCACATATATTACGTAACGTGAACAAATCCAATTTAGCTGGCGTTCACCCAGTGCACCTCGCCAAGTGTGTATACATTTTCGGCCTGATGGATCCTAGTGTGAATCAAAGCAGAAAGCACGGCAGTGTTATCGTGCATTCATGTGCTGTCGAGACGTTCAGATATACGACTGTCCTACCAGGAAGTCCCTTTTTAAATGTCCTTTGGCATGGAAGCGGGGGAAACTCGCAGCGGTGCACGTACTGGCAGAGCAATGAAACACACACCTATATCAAACTAGCTGACAACATCACTGCGTGTCTGATTGTTCACTTACAGAAGGAGCTGCTTTCGTCCTTTGTGCCTTCCATGGTGCCATCCGGCAGCATCTGGAGGTAGAAGCCGTGTCTGCAGTAAAGCCGCGTGACGATGCCCTTCAGCTGGGGCTCTGCAGAGCAAACACAGGGTTAAACACATGTTAGCATCCAGGAACGCGCACACGCACACTTGTCAGTGCACGTACATCAACGCACATACCTACCTATGAGCGTGCACAGTGACTAAACAAGAAGCAGGTCTTGATATTTGCACTGTGAAATAGTCAAACAGTGAAGTGTGTGTGCTCGCATGTGTGTGTGTGTGTGACTGTGGCCTTCAGCAGGATTGATGGGACCCCGGTGTCTGCTAAAAAGAAGCATCTTTCATGGACAGGTTCAAGTGAGGCACGCAAGATGTTCATTCTGCGCGTGTGTGCGTGTTTACACCCAGGCACGTGTGAGGTTGCTTGTACCAGCTGCCTATCACTCATATCACAGTGGAAAGAGGATTCAAACATGCTTTCAGTTTATAAGGCTGGGCATTAGTGCGTGTGTCTCTGCAGTTTCAATGTCTGCTCTTGTTAGCCGCTAAGCTAGCAGGAATATGGTTCGTTAACTGCTTAGCTAGGCTGCTAATTAAGTGTTTGGGTAGGATGAGCAGTTTCTTGGAGTTTCTGTGTGACTAGTAGATAAGTCTCAACCTTGTGCTGATGTCCTTGTAGTATTGAGGTGCACAAGTTACTAAGAACGTGTTGTTAGCCACTTAAAGGTCCAGTTTGTAACATTTAGAAGTCGAACTTTCTATTTTTTTTGTCAGTCTGGATGGAAAGGCGTCAAGCAAAATGACACAAAGTTTTTGTACCTTCCCTTAAGGGGCACTAATTTTAATAATTGGTATTTATTAGTAATAAAAGGTGTAGCTGAAAGTAAATGGGCCATTCCAGAGGGGTAAACCTTTGTGGTAACACCTTGTTGTTGGCAACCAAGAGCAGAAAGCTCAATTTCCTGCATGTAAGATGGCAAAAACTCAAGAAACAAACAAGAATAACTTAACCGTCATGCTGAAAGTTTAACAAACCATCTCCTATCGTCTGTTTACCCCGATCCCAAATACCAACTGTCATCATTTACTCAATTCACTTGGAGGCATCAGACTACTATTTGTTTCGGTGAACCAATCAGGCATCTGCCACCGCTCTAGAGAGAAGTTGGCGTGTCTTCCTTTATAACCTCGTGTTTGTGTTGAGCACACGCATGACTGAGGGGGCTCTTTCGCTCCGAAGTGCTGAGGGAGACTAAATAGTGGATCAGAAGGAATGTCAGAATGCTGAAGTGTTTCCACAATTAAGTTTTAATGAGACGCATCAAATATGGATGAGGACGGAGAAGTACGGGGGCAGCTGGCAGTTGGCCCTCGGTTGACAGCAGGGGTGTTTGTGTGAGAGAGAGAAAGAGAGAGACATGCACTGCAGAAGATATCCATCCCTGCGTTTACATTCACCAGACTGATTATAAAATAACTTTAAAAAGAGTTTTTCAGCATTTTTCATATTTCATTTATCTTTTCATCTAACTAACTCACCTTCTATAATGCTACCAAAGTCATGTTTTTCCTTAAAGCGGTATTCTAGCAATCTAAAATATAATTAAAAAATAAAAAATAAAATAAAATTCCCACAAATTCAAGCACCAAAAACACTGTATCCTACATATCCCATAATGCAACCAAATTGTGTATTTTTGTTTTGCTGTATTGATGGCATTCAGGGAAAAACATGACAGCTTCATATTATCCCAATTTGGGAGGGATCACACGTCATTGTGAGATGGCTAATCCCAATGCTAGCCTTCTTTTCACAACAGATAAATGGAATTCAGCCGTAGCAGTTTTTTGTAATGTTGTACAAAAAGTGTTATTTTTTAGTAGTATAATTATTAGTGTGTAACTTTTTTTAATTTAAATGTCAGTGTAGTTTGGTGCCAACCTGAGAAATAGCTAATAGACAGTCCCAACTACAATTTGGAGGCTGATATATATATCTATACATATTCATAATACCACTGTTTTTCTTTTCTGAGTAGAATTTCCCATTAAAAGTAAATTGACCATGATTTGTGAAACCGTTGGAGTGCCCCTTTAAATGAAAGCCTTAAATTCCATATGATATGAACATCAATGCAATATAGCACTAAAAATGTGTGTAATTATTAATATTATATTGTACTATATCCCTTTTTTCACAGTTTTTTATTTACAGTTTAACAATTTCCAACATCTTCCTCAATCAGGATTCTTCTCATTTTAAGAGAAGGTAACACAGAATGTACTACTTTTTGTGATTGCAAAGCTAACACATGTTTCTGGGAACATCGGGAAGTTGATGCTCATTAGGGTTTGAGCTAAGCCTTGATGTCTGTGAATTAGTAAGAAGAAAATGCTGGTGTGTAATCCTCCCTTTCATGCCGACAGTGTGACACAACATGTTTGGAGGTTTTTCATCTGAGGTTCTGGCCTCAGCAGCGGGATTGAGTCGCTGTAACTACTGAAAGATAAAAGCTCATCCATCCACCGCTGGCCGACTACATACAGAAGGTCGAACGTGGAGTGTGGTAATCTGTTATATCCTGAGTGTTAATCCCAAATTAAGCCTCAGACCACACACCAGGCCATGTGCTGCTTAACAAATCTGCCACAGTGCCGAGCAGAGCCGAGCTACAAACGCACACAGGCCCAAGGAGGATGACGTTGACCTTTAGCGTGACTCTGCCTCCGTACATCCCTGTTTGGTAACGATGCTGTGATCCAAAAAAACACTTGTTTGGACACGACGACATGCAAGACTACTGGTGCACGCACATAGCCTTCACAAAGATAGCACACACACAGCATCTCTTACTCAATCCATGTAGAAGCAAGGGCTAAAAGCAGCAGAAACTGCCTTGAGTGATACCTGCAGGGTTCTAAATTAACACCCGCCAACCTGCCAAATGCGTTAATAAAAACTTTAAAAAACTAGCCAGTTTGGCCGGTGATGCATGAGGCAATCATGTCAGTCAGAGCCGCTCTACTGTTCCCTGAACACTGTCGTGATGCTACATGATGACGTAAAAAAACCCGGCCGGAAGAGAAAAAAAAAAAAAAAAAAAAAAAAAAAAAAAAAAAAAAAAAAAAAAAAAAAAAAAAAAAAAAAAAAAAAAAAAAAAGAATGAACAGTGCAGAAACTATCAAAAGAAGGGAGGGAGCTAGCTAAAGTAAATTAAAAAGTAGCCTAAACTTCAACTAAATGCGGCGGTGGTTGGTTGGACAGACGTCTGGGGGCGAGAAGAGGAAGGAGGCAGGGGATGAGGTTGAGAATATCAACAACAATGCGTGCGAAACGAACAAAAAAAGTTCAATGCCAAATGGCTGACGGGTCGTGAATGGCTTGTGTTTGATCACGAAAATGTCGTCATGTTTTGTACGGACTGCCGCATGTACGCAAAAGAAAAAAACAAAACAAACAATTTCACTGGAAAAAATTTGGCTAGTGGAAATTCTGATTGGCTGGTAATTTTAGAAAGTTTCTAATAACTTTCTAATAACTTTAGAAAGTTACCAGCCAAATTGGCTGGTAATCAAAAAAGTTAATTTAGAACCCTGGATACCTGGGGCAGTATCTTAGTTAAACTGAGGGTTTAAATGCACAAACACACACACAGACATTACCAAGGTTAATGTGTATGCAGCATGACTCTATGTCTAGATTGAAAATGCAAGAAAATACACATAATAAATCTAATACAATATTAAACAAAAAGCAGTGTTAGTCATTTTTTTAAAAATCTTTCTATTATAAGTAACTGAAGTCAGCAGACCAATATTTCCGTGGGTTGTAGCTCAGTGGTAGTTTACCTTATTCAGTGACAACTTGTAAAACAAGACTTTCAAAGTAAAGGATGCTTCGTCGTCAGCAAACAGAGCCCAGATTCCACCCTCACAATTTCAACACAGTATGAAACCAGTCTGAAACCTAGTCTGATGTCCCCATGTCAAGATTCTGGCCAAAAGGTAACACTAGAGGAAAGCTCTAACCCTAAACACACTGGGATTGATCCTCTGGGGATCACTGATGTGTAATTTTAGAAAAATTTAAAATTAAAGTTTTTCCCAGGGGCCCCGGGTGTTGAAGGAGGGTGACTTCTGTGAAGGTTAAGGGTCATTAGAATCATCAGAAATCATCCTCTGGGGACAAGGAAAGTCCATGGCAATCTAGCTAGTAAATATTTAGATATGTCAAACAGATGGATGGATGATCAGACATCACTAGTCGAACACAAATTATCAGCAGGGGGTGAGATGTTGGGACAATGAAATTCTATTACCCCAGTCTTTTCCAGTGGGGTGACCATAGCTGCTTCAGCTGTCTCCGTGGCTCTTCGGTCAAACTTAGATGGTATTTCTGCTGGGCGAGGGGTGCACAATATATGACTTTTCTAGCAAATAGTAATTTCCAAGCAATCATAATTAAATCAACAATACACAAAGTTTATCACATAGGGAGGAGGTTGGTGAAAGGGGCTGCAGCAGCTAACGGTGTTGACATGAGTGTATCAGCAGAGTAAAGGCACTTTCAGACAGCGAGCGGTTGCCACTGTGTCGATGGAAATGGCGGCAGCAGGTTGCAACATCGCCGATGGAAATAGTAAACAATATGATACGCTAATTAATAAGATAGCATAATAATGAAGTTGACGTCCAAGATCGTTTCTGCTCACTGATCTGTGTGTTCACTGCTAGTGAAGAGGTGAATGACTCAGAGAACTCAGATATCGGTAACATCAGTAACTGTATCCTTTTCCTCAGTTTTGGTTGCCGTGGTCAGCAAGCAAGCTCTGACAGCAAGTTGAATAAGTTGAAACATTAACGGCAGCAGCAAATAGCTGCGTTCAAGTGCCAGGTTACAATGGCTGCTACCTTGCATGAATATGATTGGATGTTAGTAGTCAGCTGGTAGGTATGAACATATTGTTTTGGTTGGAAGCTACATGTATTTATGTAGTCATTGATCAACGTACTTTTAAATGACGCAGTCCGGCAGCAGCCTGCTTCAGATTTCAGAGGTTATGGTCCCTATAGAAATTTTGGGCTTTC